CTCCGTCCACTTCACCATCCCCTATCACTCAAACCACGACACTCAATTCGGAACCAACACATCAAGCAGACATCCATGCACCTGAAGCCGTTGGGTCAACTTCCTCACACCACATGCTCACTCGATTCAATACTAGATCCCTCAAACCAAAACAAATATTAGACCTCATCCATGTTATCCAAACCACTGACCCAACCACCTACAACCAAGCCGTCAAACTCGAACAATGGTGCACAACCATGTCACAAGAATTCCAAGCCCTTCAAGCACAAGCAACCTGAAATCTTGTACCTCCAACTCCAAATTAGAATGTCTTAAGATGCAAGTGGACTTTCGAACAAAATTCAACTCTAATGGCTTAATCGCTTGCTAAAAAGCCTGACTGGTTGCTAAAGTTTCAATCAAGAGTATGGCATAGACTACACTGAAACCTTTAGCCCCGTAGCTAAAATTCCCACAATCTGGGTTCTTATCATCATAGCGTTACATCATAACAAGCAAATCCATCAACTCGACGTCTCCAATGCCTTCCTCCATGGCAAACTCTCCGACACAGTTTACATGCATCAGCCTCCGGGACTCTAAGATTCCCTTCACCCCACCTACATTTGTAAACTAAACAAAGCCTTGTATGGTCTCAAGTAATCCCCTCGAATCACATAAAAAGTCTCGGATTCCTCATTAGCACCTCTGACCATTCCCTACTCACATATTATTATGGAACGGTACACATCTACATACTTATCTATGTGTGAGATTCTTTTAACCAGAAACTCTACCACTGAGATCAACAAACTCCTATCCAACCTCCATGAAAAATTTCACATGTGGAACCTCGGATCTTTATCTCAATTCCTTGGCATTCAAGCCATTCCCCCTCTTACTACATTTCCTCCACCAACAACCTTACTCACGCAACATCATAGAACGAGCAGGCATGCAAAACTCTAAACCCTTCTCAACCCCTATCTCCTGCAAAATCAACACTACTGCCAAATATCATGATTTGTTTCACAATCCTCAATTATACATGCACTTAATCGAATCTCTTCAATACCTTACTCTCACTCACCCGGACATTCAATTTGTCATCCACCAACTATGCAAGCATATGCACAACCCTCTCAACATCCACTTTGACTCACTCAAACGACTTCTTCGTTATATTCATGGATCAACCCACATAGGCATACCTCTACGCAGGAACAATCTCACTCTACGTGGCTACGCGGATGCAGATTGGGCTAACGATAGTAACGAAAGGAAATCAATCTCCGAGCTATTGTAATTTTTTAGGTAACTCTCTTATTTTTTGGCAGGTTAAGAAGCAAAGCACTATTGCTCGGTCATCCACAGAGGCTGAATATCGAGCCTTAGCTGCTGAAGCATCCGAGGTTATTTAGCTCCGACGATTCCTCGAAGACTTTCACATACCTCAGATCGATCCAACCACAATCTATTGCGACAACACATCGACCATTGCCTTAGCCAATAACCCTGTGTTCCACGCCCGCATAAAGCACATGGAAGTCGATTGTCGCTTTATTAGGGATTGTATCCGACAAAAGAATTTAACCATACATCACATCAGCACCACAAATCAGCTAACAGACTTGTTCACTAAACCTCTCACACAATAGCGCTTCAAACACCTCTCTAACAAACTCATCGCCATCACCCAGCCATAAGTTTGCGGAGGGGGGGGGGGGGGGGGGGGGGGGGGCTATTAATATTGCACTGACGTGGCATCTCACACGCCAAAACATATATCTTTGTACTATCTTGCTTTACCGTTTCATGTACTTTCTTGGCTCTTATCTTGACTTTTTATCTTTATATAGATGATGTATGCTGGACATTAGAATGCAATATAGAAAGTTTTCTCTGTTTTTCCTATTTCTCTCCTTTCCTGTTCTGGGTTTGCCGTTCCATGCATGACATTCTACAATAGAGACGGTGGAATTCTAAGTTTGTGGTTACTTTACGTGTTTATTTATTGCTCAAATACATCTATCTCATTTTATTCACTATTTTGGAATAACTTTTTATCATAAATGTGTATATTTTAAAACACATTATTTAACTCCATCCCTTCTTGGGTCATGTGTTATTCATAAATGTTACCTAATAAAAAAGTTGAGCATTTGGCCTAGGTCAACTAATAATATACTCAGCTTTGAACTTGTTGCGTGCCGGAACATTTGTGCGGTAGAGAGATATAAAGTTTTGTGTCCTAATTTTTTATGAAGATATAGCATACACATAGAAAAGAAATGAAGGGTGCAAGAATTATTAGAGACACTAAAGTTTTTACATGAAAATTTTAAAAATGAAAAGGGAAAAACCATAGGACTTGTCTTGTTGAAATGGTTGCACTAATATTTGTATTTGATTACAAGTGATGCCCTTTGTCAATGGTTTGGGATTAATAAAGTACATGTTATATTATTGAGGTTGGAAGTGCCCTTTGGCATGAATTCACCAAAAATCCAAGTGCCGAAGTTGAGATTCAAAGTTGAAGTCCACGACCTGCGTTCATTTTTTAAATAATGGCATGTCTTGAGATTGCTAGTAATAGCAGGTGATGAAGTTAGTGGGCGTTGGAGTGGTCAGGTGATAATAACAAAAAGATTATAGGTCTGAGGATTATTGTAGTCAGGCGATGGAGGTCAAATGACTATCGTCGGCGGATGTCAAAGTTCGAAAGGACCTTATTGTAGCGATGATAATCAGAAAATGGTGGTCCCCAGACTATAATTAGCGCGCAATAATGGTCTAAAGGAATGCAGTAAGTGGGTGATAGAGGTCAGATAGTTATAGTTAGACGAGACTGTAGTTAATCCTCGATAGTCGAATAACTATAGTCTGGCAATGGTGGTCGGAGGACTGTAGTTAGCTAGGGATAGAATTCGAAAGGACATTAGTCAGATGATAGTAATCTGAGGATCGTAGTTGGGCAATGGTGATCAAAGGTCAATATTTAGCTGGCAATAAAGGTTAGAAGGATTGTATGACAATGGTGGTCCAAAGATCGTAGTTGGGTGATGGTGGTTCGATGAAAAAATTCAGGTAACAATTGTCCGAGGATCATAGTCGATAGGGGATAGATGTCAGAAGGACCATAGTTACTGAGAGGCAAAGGCCAGAAGGACCATAATCAAGTGATTAAGGTATGAGGATCCTAGTCGACAAGTGACGAAGGTTAGAAGAACTATAGTCGGGCGATAATGGTTCGAGGATTGCAGTTGAGCGATGGTGTTCCATGGACTATAGTCGATGGGTGACAGAGGTTAGAAGGGTCATAGTCGAGCGACAGTGATCAAAGGATTTTTATTCGGGCGATGGTAGTCCGAGGACTATAGTGGTTAACTGGTGAAGGCCCGACTGCGAGGTTCTAACGGCGGTGTTCTTAAAGCCTCAAAGTTTTTATTTTGAATATCACGAGAAAGTTTAAGCTCCAACTCTAGACTCCTCTCCCTCTCAATGTGATAGGGGACCTCTTTATAAATTTTTGAGAATGACATACCCGTAAATATAGAGAAGATCCAGAACACTCCATCAACAACCCATATTGATTACTTTAAGTATAAGGCGTTCGTTCAATATTTAAGCGTCTTAATGATTTCAGAATTAAGTGATTGGGTTCCTTGGATTTGATTTGTCGTGCTACTAGGTTAGACTATAAGCATGCCAATTTTTTGAGATTATTTAGCCCCACAATTAATGTTTAATGTTTATAATTATACTTCAAGCCCTTGAGTAGGCTCATTCGAGCTCAAATTAAATCATTTTTTTTATGTTTTTGGGTTTATCTCGTTGAGATGTTCAATTTGACTTTACGTTTATTGAAACTGAATTTTAGATGATCATGAATTTAATTTTAAAAATTTTCAATTCAAATATGCCTCAAGATTCATGCCCGATCAAAATGATATTTGGTGACATGTTAGAACCACTTACTTTAAGGTTTGGATTTGGACACGGGCAGAGAATATCCTCCTTGTTCACTAAGGGAGCTAGATTCATCTATGAAGCAAAGGTGTTAAAGATGTCCATTAGAGAAATCAAGGGCAATATTAGAGAAATCTTATAGCAAGAGCTATCACATACTTGAATGCATAGTAGACTATGGATGATCACAAAATAAGCCAATAAAAGGAAATCTAATTTTTTTTCTAACTAATTATGGTATTTCATTGATGGTAAAATCATTTTTACCTTGATATAATACCATAAGGGTTCATTATCTTCTACTTTGGGCAATCAATTATGATCCACCATTCTTAGGCTTCAATAAAAAAAACTATAGTTGCATAACAAATGGATGCATTTTTTTATAGATGTCTATCCTTACAATAAAAAATTGTGGTCAGGGCACGAAAAATTTAATAATAAAAAAATTATCCCAAATGAAGCTTAAATGACATTAAGACATACATAAAAAATATTTACTTCAAATAAATTAATATTACTTGTATTTTTAATATGATTTAAAAATTTTTAATGTTATATAATTAAATAGAAATATCCAAGTATTAAATATGTAAATAAATAAGAGTTTTGTAAATCCTCTAAATTTATTAGTGTAAAATTTTATTTTACTTATTCTCCTATACTTTATTTTCCTATTTTTAAAGTTTTGTAAATGTCCCAAAAAAAATTTAAAAATTATTATCAAAATCTTTAAATCTAATTTCACATAAATAAATAAAAATTTATGAAAGTCTTTTTATTAAAAAAAAAGGAAATATATGAAGACAATATTTTATTTATTAAAATAATAAATAATAAATCATAAAATATACATCATTCAGATCAATCATTTCACACACATCCATTATTTGCACGTTTAACCCATGGGCCAGCCTGTAATGGGCCCAACCACAGACCAAAGACCCGCCTTTTTTAACACCGACCCATTTACGGTCTACCCCTTCCACTAACTAAAATCACCACATCGGCCTGCTTCTATATCTGACGACTGCCCTACCTTCTTCTCCACCTCCCCTTCCATCGCAAATCTCTCTCTCTATCTCTGTCTTCAGCCTAATCATCATCAAGCCATGGCAGCCTCTGCTTTTTCCCTGAAGTTCAGCGCCGCCGCCTTCACAACTTCTCCGTCGCTCCCGGCCTCCAACCGCAATCTCTCAGAAACAAGAGTTCCTTCAGCACTCAATCTCCAACTCTGTAGCTCTCTAACCAAAACCCTAAGATTGCATAATCCATTTTCCCCGTCGCCCTTCCCCAAGACCCGTCCAGTATCCGCCTCCCTCTTCTCCAAACAAAAACCAACCGAATCCTCAAGGCCAAGCAATGTGCAGGAGCTATACGTGTACGAGATCAACGAGCGAGACCGCGGAAGCCCGGTCTATCTCCGCCTAAGCCAGAAGGAAGTCAATTCCCTCGGCGATCTCGTCCCTTTCAGCAACAAGGTAATCGGCTTCTTGATTTTCTTAATTTCCTTCCTTCTTGAGGTTTTAATTAGGAATAGCAGGTGTACAGCGGGAATCTGGAGAAGAGGCTCGGAATAACAGCAGGGATAACTGTTCTGATTCAAAACGTGCCGGAGAAGAAAGGGGATAGGTATGAGGCGATCTATAGCTTCTATTTTGGAGAATACGGGCATATATCTGTTCAGGGATCTTACCTTACCTACGAGGACTCTTACCTGGCGGTGACCGGTGGCTCCGGCCTCTTCGCCGGAGTTTATGGTCAGGTCTTGCTTCACCAGATCGCTTTCCCTTTCAAAATCTTCTACACCTTTTACCTTCAGGGTATACCGAAACTACCGGAGGAGCTACTCGGCACACCTGTGAAGCCTTCTTTGACGGCAGAGCCGTCCGCGGCTGCTAAGGCGGCTGAACCCCATGCCGCCCTAAAAGAATATACCAATTAATTACTTTATGTACTATGAGGAAAATAAATTTTTGTTTGAATATTCTGATCCATTTCCCAAAAAAAAAAAAAAATTCTGATCCTATTATGTTATATTGATGTGTTGATACATATATATATATATATATAGGCTGCTAAGGCGGCTGAACCCCATGCGCCCTAAAGAACTATACCAATTAATTACTTTATGTACTATGAGGAAAATAAATTTTTTGTTGAATATTCTGATCCATTTCCCAAAAAAAAAAAAAATTCTGATCTATTTATTAGTATATAGTCATTCGCTATCCTCATACAATATATATGATATATAAGCGTTAATTATATACTCATAATATATATAAGTATATATATATATATATAGCTATATATAGTAATTATAATATATATATATAT